TGCAGATAGTCAATTCTGGAACTAAAAAGCAACCGGAAATTGAACACGTCAAGTAGATATGGCATTTCCTGGGTAACAGTGTTATAAAGTTCTTTATAACTTATAAAGATACAACTCTCATTACAGGTTTTCACTGAAACGTTTTTTGTCCCACAGTGAGGTTACCCTTTTTCCTTTCTCCTCATAGCTTTGTTTGCAGATGAGGTGATGGGCAGGAAATTAGTTATTACAGTTGAACCTGAATGTTACAGGACAACACCTGATAATGTAGATGATAAAAAGTTTTTATTTGTAGTTGGGTGTAAGTGGGAAACAGAATTTGGATGGTAATGCTGAAGTTCAGCAAACTAGTTTCCCCAGGGAAATGAAGGGATGGAAAGGAGCCTCAGGCGGTACAGGCCAGGGAGCACCACCAGAGTTGGAGCTCAGCCTCAGGAGAGGTCTGTGTCCATGGCACGTATGCTGCAGGAAGTCCAGAGAACAGCCAAGGGAAGTGGCTTGCTCCCTGGAGACTTTACCTTTGGGAGCTGGTTTGGGTGAGCATAAAACTAATTGCCTCAGTTCCTGGCCGTGGTTCCTGTCACAGTCAGTTCGTTACTGCAAGTTGGATTGGGCCAGGCTGTTTCAGGCCAGAAGCTGAGTATTCCAGGGCTGGTATGTTTGTGTAAAGTGAATGAGATTTTTTTTTTTTTTTTTAACAAAGTGAATCCATCTAGTTACAGAGTAACAAGTAAACAATAGGGCTATACTTTGGGGTTTTTTTGCAAACCTTCTCTAAATGACTTGAAGATGAAGTTTTGAATATGTATTTAAATTGGCATTTTTACTGAGTTTTGAATTTAGATTTTATAACTATTTCAAAATGACTGATTAAGTTGACTGGAAATTGGGTGGTGTGAGAATTACACTGTTCAACAAGGAGTTAGTATTCTGTCTTTGCTTAGTGATAGAGGCAGAAAGGAGGCAGGGCCTTGCTAACTCAAGGGAGGCTAGGGAGGGTTTGGTTTGTCTTGTCTTGTGGTGCAGGGGATGGGACCTGGGGCCTTGTGCATGCTGGGCATGTGGCCTACCACTGAGCGCCCCCACGTTACAAAGAGGGATTTGGAAGGAGGGAAAACAGAAAATTGAGGACTCCTTTCTAGTAGATAACAAGTGTGAGCCTCAATCCCCTGCTTCCTGTCTGTGTATTATGTTTTATTTTGTGTAGGAGAAATGAGGGGAGCAGGTTTGGTTCTGATTTTCCATGTCTTGGCTATTCTACTAAAGTTTCCTCATTTATAAAAGGGCTGAATATTTCATTGATTGTTACACAGGTTCTATAAAGATTAAGTGAAATAACACAGACAGCTCAGCACCTGGTATAGTGGTACTTCTCTTTTTTTAGTTCTGCCTCTTCAAATGAGGACTTCCAAAGTTAACTTGTCAAGATTGTTTTACCCTAGTACATTTTCAGGTACCCTTGCTTTGTTAAAAGGGATTATTTTATGAATTGGAGCAGAAAAAAAGTCTTTGATTATATGTTACACTGTTCTTTGGAACCAAGTGAGCTGGTTTCACACATCTGGAAGCCTTGGGGGAAATCAGGTCTGCCTTGGGACAAAGAAAGGACCAGGGATCCCAGTACAGCTCTTTCTGTGCAAGAACCCTAAACAGCAATTAATTAATTCTTAATTAATTATAAAGATTTGGAAATAGACTTCTATGTCATTTGTTAGATTTGAGCTTAGGTAGCAGGTTTACTTGCCTTCTCTGCTTCTTTGTCTGAAAGGAAGGGATGGTAGTTGGCTTTTTATTGTCATTCCACTACCCTAGCTGATGGCAGATGGTACTTCTACAGAATAGTGATTTGTACATACATTAAACAAAATTTTTTTTTATTGGCACTGTTTTACCACTTGAGCCACACCTCTAGCTCTAAACAGTTTTATCATATTTTGGAAGTAAGTTCTATGTGTTAGTTACTGCAATTAATGTCACTGGAAATCAAGGTTTGATCAACTAAGATGGGAATTATATTAAAACATGTTCTTATTCTACTTCCTAATTACAAGGTTAAACTCAGTATACATAAGAAAACTGCTCTAAAAAATTATGATAATGACGAGGAGGATTTTAACTCCGAAGTCAGCAGATCCTGGTTAACTTCGCTCAGACTGAGGTTTCTGTTCAAAAGGCTAACTGGCTCTTCCTATTCATTTCCCTTTATTGCTATAGAGAGTCTACTAAATCAGTGGAGGACAGGTCAAAATTCAAACAAACAAAAAGAAAAAATTACAAATTGTCCTATTTTTCAGAGAAACCTTATTGACATTTTTTTCATGCTTTTAAGTTTTGAATCCAAAACTATTCACATATCTATATAAGATGAACATGAGAGCTGGGTGCTGGTGCCCCATGTTTGTAACCCTAGCTACTTGGGAAGCAGAAATCAGGAGGATCAAGGTTCAAGGCCAGCCTGGGCAAATAGTTCCAAGGGATATCCATCTCCAAAATAACCAGAGCAAAATGGACTGAGGTGTGGCTCAAGTGGTAGAGTGCCTGCTTTGCAGCACAAAGCCCTGAATTCAAACCTCAGTCCCACCAAAAAGCAAAAACAAAAACAAAAAACAGACAAAAATGATACCATATAATCCAGTCTTTCTGTAAATGGCTTTATTTTATCATCAATGTATTGAAAATATTTTTATGGCAATAAATAGATTTGCATAATATCTGATTATCTCTATTCTCTCCTAAAAATTATTAGTGTGTGTGTAATATATATATATATATATATATATATATGTATGTATATATTTTGTTTGTTTGCTTGTTTTTTTTTTTTTTAGGCAAGGGCTCACTATATATCTCAGACTGGACTCCAGCTGTACCACCATGCCTGGCTATTTTAATTCTTAAAAAACAATTTTTGCCCATTTAATAGGTGAAAACTTTTGAAATTGTTTTTGATTATATTTAGTTTTTTAATGTCTAATAACACACCCATTTATTGGTCTGTGGGAAATGATACAAAATTAAAAGACAGAAACAAGCAAAATGTGGTATCATTGACAAATACTTGAAATGCTGTCATGAATTTCAGAAGGGACATTAGCATTGGACATGGGGCGGAGAGAATGTGGAATGTAGGGATATCTGGCAGATCTAGAATAAATGAGTCTGAGGGACAAGGCTGCTCCCCTCTTCCTACACATCTGGAAGCCTTGGGGCAACCAAGTCTGCAAAGAAAGGACCAGGGACCCCAGCACAACTTCTCTCTTGCAACAACCAGAGTCTCCCCAGGGCTTCTGCACATCACCGTACAAGCTGGGCGACTTGGGGCTTCAGTCACCCAGCTTGCCGGATTTGAAATTTTGGGTATTGGCATACCTTTGCGAATTATTTGTTTGCCTATTTTAAAAAACTGAGGCTTTCATTGCTTTTAATAAAACTTTTTTTTTCTTGTGGAACTGAGGTTTGAATTCAGGCTTTGCATTTGCAAAGCTGGTGCTTTAACACTTGAGCCACACTCAATGGCCCACAAATGTGACTTGGAAGATTCCTTAGTCCCCTTTGAAACATAGTGAGCTATGCATAAATAAAGAATTCACTTAAAGAGAACACTTTGCTTTTTGCAAAGGTCTCTTGGCCTCTGTTGTTACTAAAGCCTGCAGGCAGATAGTGTAGCTGCCTTTTTCATTCTGAGTTTCCCTGGCAGGTCTCTGCAATCTTGTGGAACTCTGTCACTGTGCCAGTGTGTGTGGGCATTAAAGTGGGGTCCTGAAGTCCACTGCCATATCCCTTGGCTCAGGGCTGAGGGGGATAAGCCTGTGTGAATTTGTAATAAGTAACTAATATGGATGGGCTATGCTCAAGGACCATTTACTTCATTCCCTTATTTTGCTCTGCTGGCAAAACACCTTGTAGGGATTTTAAATGAAAACAGCTTTCAGAATTTGTTAAGTTTAAATTTGCACTGTGATACTGTCTCTTTATGACCTATCTTTTAGGGACTGCTCTGTTTTAAAGGGGGAGGAGTGTGTGTGGGTCTGTTTCTGTCTATCCATGTGAGATCTGAGGGTGAATGTGACAGAGGTGTAAAGGAGTCTGATACAACATAGATAACCTCTCTTTAGAATGGTGCTGATAGGTGTTCAGTAAACAACCAAGTTTTGATAAACTCACGGGGTACTTACATGACAGTGATGATATTCATCTTGGTGCTTACAATAATTAAACTGAAAAGTCCTTTGTAAAACAGAGCTAATTTAATATGAAGGCATGATAAATACGTGCTGGAAGCAGCCCAGGGGAGGGACTGACTGACTGCGGTTTGGTTGGTCAGGGAAGTTTCTTGCCAGAGTGGATCTGCTGTGACACAGGGAAGAGGGTTGGGTTTTCAGTCTTCCTTTGAAGGGCACTGAAGCTTCTGGGAGCATGTTCCATTGCACCTTAAGCCCAATAGGTGTCCTGTATAGAGTAGTTGTTACAGGTCAGCTATGTTTTCGAAAGCATCGTGGCTTGTCACCAGGTGGCTAGTTCACAAAGTATGCTCACTTCCTGAATTCCCTGTCAACGCTGTCAGAAGGGAACCCACTGAACTGTGTAAGCCAGCAGTTGAGGCCCTGCCCTGGACAGGCAGAACCTCCCAGAAAGCTCATGAGATTTGGGTGCTGCCAAGCACTGTGGACAGTGCCATTTTCCTCAGTCACTCTAGGGATCACTGTTGTCACTGTCTTTATTGCACTTCCTGGGAAGCATTTGGAGATGAAGCTTCTTAAGTGCAGCTCCTTACATGGAGGGGAAGAGTAAACAAGCCCAAATAGAAAAATAATGAGAATTACAGTTTTGGGTTTCAATTTTCACCTTGCTTTTCTTCAATGCTTATTTATTTTGTTTCTCCGAAATGCTTTGTAGAGTACTTGTGTATAGTGAAAATGAGTTGTTTTAAAAGTTGAGAATGGAAACATTTCTAAGTACTCCTATTTTGACAAAGGTTTGTGTTTCTTCTCTTTCCTAAGGTGTATTACCCGAATTTGGGATGGATGTGCATTGATGCCACGGATCCAGAGAAGGGGAACTGGCTGCGTTATGTGAACTGGGCTTGCTCAGGAGAAGAGCAAAACTTATTTCCACTGGAAATCAACAGAGCAATTTACTATAAAACTTTAAAGGTAATGGTGTTAAAATCAGTCTATTGCTGGTTACTCTGCATGCATTTTTTAGATGTGGTTCTTACTTAGTTGGACTGATAATCATGACTTTGCACACACTGAGCAGATCATCTTAGAAGCAGCTTATCCATGCATTGAAGGTTCTGTGTTAAATATAGGGTTGCTGCTGCTCGAATGTGTCAGGGAACCAAAGCTTAAAGATGGTGTTCAGTAATTATACGCTGCATCTCTCTTCATACAGTTGATTACGGTGTGGCAGCCACTCCCCGCCTTCCACCACACAGATGTGTCTGACTGGTAGGTTTATCCCACTGTGAGAAACTATCAGTAGCGTGGTGGTGCTGTGTGAACCGAACACACACTCATGGTCATCAGTGTGAAGGAAGCCTTTCCTTCAGTTTTCTTCAGAGTAGAAATTAGACTACATTGGCTCCTCCTGCCAAATTTTTATTTGGAGTCATTAACTGCTGAGATTAAAAGAAGAGGCCAGTCACCTTTAGGCTGGTAGGGAGGGTACCCAGCACATCTGGGGATGTCACTACTAGGAAGCCTTGCAAGTTGCTGCATTTCTGTGACAGTAAGATACTGTCTCCCATCCTCATTCTGATGGTCAGGTACAAGTGGAACAGATCTGCATGTCATGCATGGGAGGGCTCTAGCACTGATCTTGAGACGGTAGAGATAGGTAGTTGTTGCTTTTTTTTTGGAATAGATACCCTTTGCTAGAATTGTTGTGATGGGAAAATTTCTATTTGTTTAATTACTTTCATTAAGTATGTCAGAGTCTGGGGAACAAGTCCATGAAGAAAATCTTTCTGGAGTTGAACACTTGAGCAAGTATTGAAGGTAGTGGGCAGTTTTTCGAGGTGCTGAGTTTTGTGAGTGTGGTAGTGCCAGGCCATCTGCAAGTTTCATTATCACATGACTGTTTGCTTTCCTCGGCTGTATTTTTCCTGACATTGTCATCCAGTTGCATTACCTATTACCTCATTTACACCTGTGTCCTTGCAGAATTTTTTTTCTTTCTCACTTACGACTTCCAAATTCTTGCTTCCCATTTTCTTCTTGCTGGATTGTAGTAGCTTGCTTTTCTAGTAGGATTACTGTATGGCTTTGAAATACTGGATTTGAAATTAGATTGAAAATGCATTTCAAGAATTTGTTTCTCAAATTTATTTAAAGCAAGAGAGACCTGGTTTAATCAGTGAGGTGGAATCTTGACGGAATAGCAGTGAGGGGATGATGTGGGAAAGTCAAGGTAGGGGAAGGTCTGGCATGGTGCACATGCCTGTAAACCCAGCTACTTGGGAGATGGAGATTGGGACAATGGTGATTGAAGACCAGCGTGGGCAAGAAGTTAGCGAGACCCCACCTTAACCAGTAAAAATCCTAACTACACAGGATCTGTAAATAGGAGCAAAAAACGAGAGACCCTATTTGGAAAGACAGGTAAAGCCAAAAGGGCTGGAGGCATGGCTCAAGTGGTAGACTGACTGCTTGACAAGCATGAGGGCCTGAGTTCAAACACTGGAACTGCCAAAAAATAAAAAATAAAGAAATAAAAGATAGAAGGGATTCTGTAAGAGCATAAGCCCTGGGACACAGAGGACAGCGCAACTCCTTCCTTAGGCTTCAAGTTAAACTATGTACTTCCCAGAAGCAGGAACGTTGAGAAGCCAGGTGTGTTTGGCAGGGTGAAGCCTGAGGCCCCTACCTGGGTTAAATCCTGACTTGCTGTAGACCCATAACATAGCCTTTCTCTTTGCCTCAGCTCCCTCATGATAAAATAGCAGTTACTGTAGTATGGATCACCTTGTAGTTGTTGTGATGAGTGCATGGGTGAATATAGGCTGGAGTACCTGGTAGGTGGTGATAAATGACAGCTGTCACTTTTGGTGAGGTGATATGGTGTGGCCAGAAGTGGGGCCTCAAGCATAGTGCCTGGTGGACGGCCATTGGCTTCTTAATGCATGGCGTGCAGGGTTCTTTTACAAAGACTTTCTCTGTGTCTTTGTGTTCTCATCTATAAGGATGGAGGTGGAGTACAAGTTGAGTATTCCTTATCCAAAATGCTTGAGACTAGAAGTGCTTTGTTTTGGAATATCTGCATATACCTAAGGTGGGGATGGGACCCAAGTCTAACCACAAAACTCACTTATGCTTCATGTGTATCTTATATAGGTAGATAGAAGGTAATTTTATATAGTATCTTTAGTGTGCCTGCCTTTTGACTGTGACCTGTCATATAAGGTCAGGTGCAGAATTTTCTACTTGTGGCCTCATGACAAATTTTGGAGCATTTCAGGTTTTGGATTTGGGGATTAGGGATACTTAACCTTGTAAAACTTAACTCACACATTGTGAAGATTAAACAAGCCAGTGTGTAGTAGCATAGTGCAGGGTAGGTGCTCAAAATATGAACTGCCTGGCTGCACTGCTTATAGGGCTTGGCTTTCTGCAGGTCATGAGGCCTATTATATTTTTCACTGGTGATCATCTTAAGTGTGTGCTCCTGGATTCAGCATTCTGTACAGCAGGATTTGTAAAGAATCACATGTGATGTTCTCTGGGCTCTGTGTGGCCTTCTCAATTCATCCTACCCAGATAATTGGGAACTCTCAAAACCAGATTTGTCGGTACTCTGATTAAAAACTGTTCTAGGGCTGGGGATGTAGCTCAGTGTTGGAGTATTTGCCTCATGTGCCCGGCACCACAAAAAACCCCCAGCAAACAAAAATGCTATTTTTTATTCTCAGAAGTTAATGGTTTAGCCTTTAATCCATCCAGGCATTCACCTGTTCATTAATTTGACAAATATTGATTGGGTGTCTACTGTGTACCAGGTAATCTCCTATAGTGGTGAACAGGACAGATAAGGCCTCTTGTCTCATGGAACTTCCATTCTGTAGGGGAGGAGGCACATAATAAATGAGCAAATCAGTTGACAAAATGATTCCAGATAACAGCAAGTGCTTTGAAGACAGTAAATTGCTTTAGAGCGACTAGGTCAGTGGGCAGGGACTGCTTTGGCTCCAAGGGGTCAGGGAAGGTTTTTCTGAAAAATAGACATTCAGTTTTTCACCCCTGGATAGAGGGGAACAAACCATGCTAGTTTTTTTTTTTTTTTTTTTTTTTTGGTAAAGGTTAGAACAAAGGCCAGTGTGGCAGGAGGAAGAGTAGGAGATGAGGCTGGTGAGATGGACAAGGGCCAGATCAGGTGGGGCCTTAGTATACCTGCAGGGAGAGGTAGGAGTTTTTAGTCTTCTGTTCACTTTACCCACTTGAGGGTTGAGGCTGAGATCAGGGTAGGGAAATGGGTTGTGGTAGATAATGGTGGACAAGCTCTGTACTCCAATGATTGAAGAAGTCATTCAAGTATTTCTCTTATTTTGATCTAGTATTAGAAATATAAAAACTTTGCTTCTTCCTAATTGGTCTGGTAAAATTCAAATTTATATGTATTGATATTTAGAGAAGAGAGTATGCTTGGTTCTATAAAGTTTGTCACCCAAAGGGAAAGTTGGAAGGGTTCAAAACATTTGATTTTTTTTAACATAAAAATACAATGCAGTCTCATAAGATTATATCAGCCAGTTAACTGCACAGCGATCTCGATTTGTGTGAGCACATTCTATGATGTTCCTGCAACCACAGAACTGCCTAATGACGCAGTTCTCAGAACATATGTTGTCCTTAAGTGATGCCTGACTGGATGTGGACAAAGAGGTGGTTTGGTGTTTTGAATTTTTGTTTTTCTTTTTTTGGGTGGCACTCGTTTGAACTCAGGGCTTTGCATCTAGATGCAAAGCAAGCATGCTAGCGCTTGAGCCTCACCTCCAGTCCTCAACTTCGTTTTTGTATTTCTAAATTTGACACAAGAAGTCTTGAAAATACTAGAAGTACAGATGAAAAAATAGCATAATGTAAATCAGTTGCCATCAAATTTTGAAAGCTGTTCACTAGTGAACAAATCATGTTTGTCTTTGGCACTTTGCCAGCCTGGTAGTGTTTGAAGTTTTTATATCAGATTTGCTGTACAAACAGCTTTCTGGTGTGTTTTCATAGTGTGTGATTTGATTTGTAACAATAAAAGTAACTTGGGCAGACATGAGCCCTCTGTTTCTTAAGGAGCTTGTGCTGATTTTCTTTTCTTTAGGGGAGGGAGGGATACTGGCAATGGAACCCATGGCCTTGCACATGCTAGGGCAAGTGCTCCCTTGCGCTGCATCCGCAGACCTTGTGCTGATTTTTAAGGTGCTAGCACAGTCCACTCTCTGCTGAGGCCTGCAGAAGAGCCAATGTGGAAACATGAACATGGGAACAGGTGCTTTCACCTGGGAGGCTTCCTGAAAGCTTCTGGGGGTAGCTTCTAGCCAGTGTTCTGGTTATGCTGCTCAGGTGGGAATATGTGAAGAACACCTCTGTCCTCACTCCTTCCCATGTTCTTTTTTTTTTAATTGTGGTTTTATATATAAGACTTTACAGATTTCCCAGGACCCTAGTCAATTCAAATATTTCATCAATATGTGATTTACAATAAAAAGAAATGAACTGTATTTGCAATTTGCATAATCTAGAAATAGTTTACTTTTGAAAAATAAACAGATTAGTTTATCAGAGGCCAGATGCATTGGTGATGACTGTTTTAAGTCATTAATAAATTGTTTTTTTTTGGTTTAGGTTTAATTGCTTCAAGAAAGGAAATAATATATTGGATCAAAGAAAATGGTAGGTTTTAGCCATTCCAGGGGGAGCAAGGGAAACAGTGGCTAGTTCTTTTAAAGAACTGACAATACTTTGAAACGTGAACGATATAGAGAGAGTTGTACAGATAATGGAATAAAGTAATATTTCGGGGGTTCTGTCTAAGCTGGAGGGCATGAAAGTGAGGAACAATTTTGTTTTTAAACTGACACAGTAGGTGGAATTTCTCTTTTAAAAACCAGATCATTCTCTTAACATACCCACAGTGCAGTGATCGAAATCAGGAAGCCAGCACCGAGCATGTCTTATTAGCTGATCTGTTCAGATTTGTCACCTATTCCCCTTACGTCCTTACAGGCAAAGAACACGGCATTCAGTGATCTTGTGTCACCTGCCTCCTTAGCGTGGACAGCCCTTCGGTGGTGAGGAGGACTGGCTAGTTTTGCAGGGTGACTCAGTTCTGGCTTGCCCTCCTGCCTTTTGGGCAGAACTCCCGGGAGCCATGCTGACGTGCTCGTTCCTTGTGACGCGTTTTTGGGGAGCTGTTGCAGGACTGTGCACCCTCCTTTACTGCCAGCTTTGGCGTCCACCGGTGAGCTCTGCCTGAATCCGTGTTTACGGACGAGTGACAGATGATTTTTCACACACCCACTCCCTGAGATGTACTTTAATATTTATTCACTTAGGGTAAAACTCACTGTTTAGGGTCGGCCCTATCTTTTCTTGGGGTAGCCTCGTGAGTGGGCGTCTTCACCGCTCGTGGTCACACCAGCCCGAGGAACTTGGTACAGCAGCACAGTGGCTGCGAGGCATCTTCAGGTTGTCCCTCCAGCATTTAAAAGTTGTGCTGTGGAGCCTCCTCGTTTTCTCGGGCTCGAGCGGGCCGGCGGCGGTGCGCGGGTTAAGAAAGCGCAGCGCTGTGGATTTGCACTTGGATCAGAAGCGTGCGCGCCGCGTCGCTGCCTCTCAGTGACTGCTTTGCCTGTCTCGTGCACTCGGGCTCCGCGGTCACACTGGTTCCGCGTTTCCTTCTCCTTTCTGCGTGGTGGCCAGAGGCTGCGGTCGTAAGACGTGGAAGTATCTGGTAGTGGAGTCTGAGCGGGGGCTCTAGGTCAGCGGCTGCCCGCCCTTCTGCGTGCGGCCGTGCCGCGGGGCCACAGCCTCCTCCCAGCCGGAGCCCCCGCGCGCGGCCCCGAGCGCCCCCCTCCCTCCGGAGCACCTCCTGCGCGCGGCCGTGAGCCTGCCCCACCCCCTCAGCCGCCCACCCTCGCCGCGGAGGAGCCTCCTGCGCTCGGCCACGAGGTCCTTCTCCCAGCAGGCCCCTCGCTGCGCGCGCCCGCGCGCTCTTCCTCCCACCCTGCGCGCGGCTGGTGGCGGCGCCCGTCCCACAGCTGTTTGCCATCGGCGTGCCGCTCCCGCCCGCCCGCCGCGGCGCCGCCCCGCCTCCGCCAACAACCGCCGCTCTGATTGGCCCGGTGCTTGTCTCTTCTCTCCTCGCAGCCAATCGCGCCGGGCGAGGAGCTGCTGGTCTGGTACAATGGGGAAGACAACCCAGAGATAGCAGCTGCGATTGAGGAAGAGCGAGCCAGCGCCCGGAGCAAGCGGAGCTCTCCGAAGAGCCGCAAAGGTAGGACCCGCCGGCCGGCGCCCGTCCACCGCGCCCGGCCCGGCGCCGACACCCGGCCCGGCGCCGATAGCTGGCCGCCATCGTCTGGGTCGCGGGCCGGGCGCGGCGCCCGCCGCGTCTCGGTGACCTTTTCCGGACTCGGCCCGCCCGGCCCGCGGTCTCCGCCCGGCCCGCTGCTGAATCACGGCGGTCTTCGTGCGCTCGGGCAGTTTGTGAACTTGGGCTGGGCGCCCGCGCCGCGGGAAGTGCGCGCCCGGCCCCTCGGGCCCTGCACCCGGACGCCGCAGTCGGGCCGCGCCGAGCTCGACGGCGGCCTGCGCCTTCCGGCCGCGCTGACAGCCGGGGCAGGTCGGCCCCACGCGGGGCGCGGGGCGCGGGGCGCGGCGGGGAGGCGGGCGCGGCCCTCGGGATGCTCAGGAGTGTGGAAGTCCGGCAGCGAGCGTGCGGGCCGTGGGTTAGCGTGTTCTCGAGCCGAAGGCGAACGCACTCGCGCTGAAGTCGGGACGGTGATTTGTGGGTAGGAAAACAGTTTACTTGACTCTCATATTTCCAGCTGGCACGCTGATACGATGTTGGAATTTAAAAACTTTAATGTGAATTTGGTAGACTCTTACAGAGCCCAGTTTAAGCGCATGCCGAGGCACGATGCGATAATTTTAAAAAATACTTTTTTTGTTTTTACCCTCCTTAGGTCGTAAGTAAATTTTTACAGTCGTCTGAAAAACGAGTCTGTCCTTTACCCTAAGCATTACAAGTATGTTATGTAAGTCAGACTAAATAAAACCATGAAAAATTTTGGAAATTTTTAAAAGCAATATTTTAAAATGTGCACAAGAAGTCCATTTTGGTTTTTTAAAATTACATGCTCTTTGTTATTTCACAGCATAATGGAAATAGACTAACTCACCAAGGGATGGTTACTGGGCCTCTTGCTGACTGCAGTTCTCTGTTGACGGTGACTTAGGTCTTTAAACGCTTGGATTCTGGATCAGATGATCAGAGCCTAGAGAATTTCAGGTCTTTTATTTCTAAAACTCTTACCCGTGTTTTGAGATTTTGTTGATAGGAGCTTGTTTGCAAACTTCACATAATTTGACTTGTTCCTTTATTTAGAATGCATTTTGTTTGTAATTAATGCTACCAGCCTTTCCAGGTAAGTTGTGACTTGTAGGAGGTGAAGATTGGAGGACTAGAGACTCTTCACTGTGTCAATAAACATAACTCATATATTTAAACATCTGTAGCTCAATTGCAACCAAACTTGAAGCCTTTTCTTTCCTTGGCATACTTTGATGTTCATGTTTAGAAGCTATTCATTTGCTTTTTTTAAAATTTATCCCTTAATTTATTGGATGTGGAGAAAAATTTATTAAGTTGGATGTGGAGAAAAATCTGAAAATAAGCTTTCTGTTTTATTAGTGATGCATGAACTTACGCATTTCAAGCCTAAATTGCTGGTTTTTATATTGAGTTGATACTATTTATTTTCCCATTTTTAACAAAATAACTCCTCTGAGCAGTATTTGACCCACTGAGTCCCTTGCTTTAATTAAGAGGTTCACACTCAGAACATACAGCCAGCCTGTTTTGGACAGCTTACTGGTAAAGAGGCCTATTTGCTCTCTGTGACCTAAAGTTTGGAAAATATAGATTCGAGCCCACCCCCGACCCCCTTTTTTTTCCCCAAATTAAATACTCTATGAAAGCTAATTTATAGCTTGCAAAAACCTGGAAGAGAGAACTTTTATATTAACTCAGTTCTATTTGGGTATTATGTGTGACCTCAGACATTTAACTAAAGTTTTTTCAGGCAGTGATGTCAGAGAGAGAACCAATGAAAATTTCACTCAGAGTCCATGTTAACTTAGTATTTCTGAAAGCCAGATGTTGATGAGATGGAGCCAAAGGATTGACATTGGACCTAACCTAACTTTGGTTATGAGAGAAGAAACAAAGGGCTGAATTTTTCATAGTTCTGGACCTTGGCTCCTTTGCCTGACAGCTGCCGTGCTTACAGCTGTGCATTGTATTTCAGAATTCATTGGATTGCTGGTGGATCATAAGGCTTGTTTGAGCAGTAAAAAAGCCCCAGTTCCTTTACATATAACAAACTGGCCCTTTTTCTCCCTTCTCCTTTTTTTTTTCTCTCTCTTACTCAACTAATGTTTATGAACATTATGAACTAATGTTTATATGCCTGCCGTGTGCCAGGCGTTTGGCTAGGTTGTACAGCTCAGCAGTAAGAAAAAGGCTGCAGTCATTCTTGTGGCATCTGCAGTTGGAGTCCAGGCTGGTTGGGGGACGGAGTATTAGTAAGTCACAAATTAGTGCCTGGTTGGCAGGTAGTAGGCCTTTAATAAATGTTCCTTGATTAGCAAACAAAGATTCAAACAATGCTTAAAGAAGGAAAAGGACATTGTACTGTGAGAACACAGTTCACATCGTCTCTGATCAAGGAGCCTGCAATTTCACCATGGGTCAGAGATGTACATACCATACATACGCTAGGCATTTTTGACTAGAATTTATTTTGGATTCTCAGCTTTGCATTCTGGTTAGCTTTTTACATGTCTGAGCAGCTCTTATATGACTGAACCTTGGAGGGAACAGATTAAACCTCAGAGAGGACTGTAGGGCTTTAGTGTTGGGTATTTCAGGCTATTCTATTCTCAACCATAGGAAATTTATAATCTATAAAATAACTCCTATATGAACTTGTTGATCTCTAGTCCCCTGTTTGAGACTGAGAAATGAGAAATTGAGTTTGCTTTTTGGCAATAAACAATGACTGTTGGTGAACACTCTTCTGTTGTTTTTGTTTATTTGTTTTGTGGTGCTTGGGTTGGAACACAGAGCCTTGTGCATGCTATATCCTTCCCTTTGCTGCACCCCAGCCCAGTGACCATCCTGAAATGTCAGCTGTGGTAGCATTGCGTGTTGCCCTGCTCTCAGCTGCAGGAGAGCCTGAGCCCAATTCTTTTTAGCCTGAAGAAGCAACAGTGGTGTTACATGGATGGGCCTGATGGAAGGAATGAAAAAAAACCATGAACACCTAGGTTTCTACCAGGTGTGGGACTTTGGGCAAGTCAAGTCACCTTTCTGAGGTGCAGTTTCCTTGCTTTAAAAATAGGCTTTATGATAGGCCACTGTCGTTGCTTATTGCTCTCCACAGGTGAACTTTGGAAGGGAACAAACTTTATGAAGCTGTGGGCTCTTGGTAACTGGAAATACCACATCTCAGGATGCCTGCTGTGGGTTTTTTTTTTGCCAAGGGTGCTGCTGAGTTTGTGACTCTTACCACCTGCAGATGCTCCATATAAACACCAAATCTCTTCTTCCTCCTACTCCCCATGCCCAGCCTGGCTCTGCCCATTCACCCTTTTTGGAGGCCTAGTTCTAACCTACTTACCTCACTGTTGCAGCAGATTAGAAGAGGAGAGTTACTTATAGCAGCAGGAAGTGTTATAACTAATATTGGAACAATGAAGAAAACAAATTTTAACAAACCCAGCAATGAGCTGTAGAGAGCAGTTTGTTCCTTAAGGTTACTTAATAGGCTTAATCCGTTATAAAAACCTTAAGTAGTGCCTGGAACTATCAATTAGTTTGTAAATTTCTAGGTGACTTTTACTTTTACACTTAAATTACGATGAGCTTAAAAAGGAAATACTTTGTCTCCTGCACAATCAGAGTTGCTCAAATGGAAAGATTTTGGTGCAGTGAGGAACACTCAAGTGTTTGAAATTGTACATATTTGAAATTCTTCTCCAAAGGGGCTGAATAACTGAATCAGGTTAGGGAAGAAAAAGCCCATGTGCAGTCAGTCTCAGGCAGTGTCAGAGAAAGTGCTAGCTGAGCAGCATGGCAGTAAGACTGGTGAGTTTTTCAGAGGAGGAAAAAGCACTCTGGCCTACATTTAGAAAGGATGCTGGGGTGGGAACGTTCAAGGAGCCAGAGACTGAGCAGGTCTGAAAAGTTGCAAACACTGGAAGATAGGTCCAGTTCATTTTGTTTGTTTGATGGTACTAGGGTTTGAACTCAGGGCAGTGCTTTGCAACTAAGCCACCCCACCAGCCTTCCCTCTGGTTCTTTAACAAGTATCCCTTCAGCTTGAGTCATAAGTTCTGGGTATTGGAGTCACAGCAGGGAACCAAAATACGAAGTTCCTGCTGTCAACAGGATGACATTCTGGAGTAAGAGGGAGCCACAGGCTACAGATGAGCAAGACATTACTCTCATGGTGGGGTTGAAGTTGTGTGAGGTATGGTGCAAATGTTGATGAGTTGGAGGCCTTCTGAGGCTGACATAGGAAGTTCTAGAGGCTGAGGGCTATAGGAACAGGGCCACGTTGGCACTCAAGTAGCATTTCTGCCAAGAAACCCGCATATTTTTGAATTACAAAATTCAGTTCTGCAAATGGCCATATTAATCTCTCTCTGCCAATCATCCTGTAAATATGGCTGGGTTGGTAGGGGAGGTTCGAGAGATGATTGCATCAGGCACTAGACTCCTTCAATGTAAAGCTTCTCGTCTGTCATTACAGCAAAGTGGAGGTCACACATGGTGGTGTTTTTGTTGATGTGGGCCGGTGGAGCCCTTGAGAAGAGGAGGTGTCCCTTCTTGATCTCAGAGGGGAGCATCATGGGGAGGACCTTGAGAGGAAACTTGAGTTGGAGAGGAAAGAAAGAGTAATGCAGAAGTTATCCCTAAGAGGGACATGGGAGGTCCCAGGAAACTGCTAGTCACTAAGTGGGAAACAGATGAAGAAGGGAGGATCTGATGGTGATATGGAGCCTCCTAGACAAAGATCTGCACCCTGAAGAGTGCTAAATGCCTACATGCATTCCCATTAACCGTGTGCTTGTGGGGTTGTTTGTTCCAGCTCCAGGTGAGGACTGGACACTTCTCAAGGTTGGAGAACTTGTCCAGGATCATTTGGCCAACTGCCAGTGAGTGTCAGACTTAGAACTTGAACCCAGGTGTTCAATGCCATTTCTTCT